ATGATGGTGCGGGGGGAGTTGGGGTCGGGGGGGATGGCGGGGGCGCGGATGGGGCGGTAGGTGGGCGGCGGGGAGGTGAAGCTCGGGCTGGGGGGAGGAGGGGCGAAGGTGGTGGGGCCGCCGCACTTGCAGCATGTGCCGGTGGTGGGAGGGGAGGAGGAAGGTTGTTGTTGGGGGTGGTTGTGGTTATGCTCGTGGTGGTGGTCGGAGTGGTGTTGGGGAGAATCTTCCATGGTGTTAGGGTGGTGATGCTGAACTGCAAAGTGGAATGGGGAAACCGGAATGGCTCAAGTGATGGGTTTTCGTTGAGGTCTTTTGTGGAGTAGTTATACAATGGTTTTCCACACAAGCATAATAAAATAAAATAAATAAATAAAAGGAAAGGGAAATTATATTTGTGTAACTTTTTTTTTCATAAAAAAAAGACAAAGAAATAGAAAATTGAAAGTAATAAATGTAGGGGATGTATGAGAACAATCCATAAATTTGAAGTTTTGAACTAATCCAAATTTATACAGAGAGTTTAGATCAAATTTTTTTAATTTTTTTATTTAATTTAATTTAATTTGATATTGTTTAACTTATTTATCAGTTAATAAAAATAATAAAAGAAAGAATAAAATTAAAAATTCTCAATTTCAACAAGAGATTTTCCATAAACAACAGGCTTATTTGTCACCTGATTTACTACATTAATCCAACTAATGACAGCTCCATCTTGAACAAAAGAAAGAATATTGCATGTTAAACCAACATATGGATGGTGATCACCACACTCATTATGGAGCATATGAATGATGATCAACACACTCATGGAACAAATTAATGGCAATATGAGAATTAGATTCAACAATAAGGTGCCTAAACCCCCGATTCCAGGCATGGCCACTCCAATATAGATGGTCCATAATTTCACATGAACCATTGAACAAAACTCAATATTCGTAGCATAAAAGAAAATCATTCTTCCATCTTGATATCAAAAAACCACCTACACCAGATTTTTTTCTCAACAGGACAAATTGAAGCATCACAATTAAGTTTTAATTGACCTACAGGAGGAGGACTCCAACCAATAGTATCTGGATTGTGCTACTACTGATGAGATATTTGTCTGTTCCCAAATTGCTCAATGCTAATAACAATAGCATCCATGCCAACCAAAATTTGTTGCAACATTTGAAGAGGATAAGAGAAGTCCTCGTTGAAAATAAATGCATTGCTGCATTACCAAAACTCACCTAATGCCACCACAAAAACTTGGGACCAAACCATTTACAAATCCATTATCCTTCACGTTCTCAAGCAACCAAGAACCAATTATTTGGCTTGAGACTTCTGAAACCACAATAGTTCCTCTTGAAAAATCACCTATTCGTATTTCTTCTAGGTTTTATACAATAGCTCTCCCTGAAATGCACTCCCATTATGGACAAGATTTCTATTAATCCTATCCAACTTCTTGATAAGACGCCTTTTATTAGCAAAAATGTTTCCAAACACAAATTTATTCCAAATCTATAGCTCTTTCTAGAAACCTTGTAAATTCTTATTCCACAGAAGAGTTCCAATGAGATTGCTCAAACATGCGAAATCACCATGAGTAATCCAAGAAGCAAGAAATCTAAAAGGCCTCTCAAACCCCGAGTCAGTACCTACTGTCTTCATCTTAATTAGAAGTAACCTGTGATCAAATTTGAATGGAGGCAAATGTAGAATTAACGCTTCCTGAAACTTCATTTGCCACTACATGTTAAACAACAACCTACCAAACGTTTGCTTTAGAGTGCCTCTCTTCAACGCAAACAGATACCCTTGGAACCCGTTATCAATAAGATCACAATCAATAATCATTTGTTGGAAACTAGAGACCCCTTTAAATGATGGTGTATTAGTCCCCTACGCCTTTCATGCTGATGAAGAATGGAATTAAAGTCCCAATAACAACCTACGCACCATCAACCTCAAAAGCAATCTCACAAATCAAGTCCTATAATCTTTGATGATTTTGGAATTGAGGGCTACTATAAACCATAGTAAGAAACCATTCACCTAAATTTTTCTAATTCACTTTTAAATGTACATGGTACCGAGAGCTACCCAAGACTTGCACCTTCCATTGGGTAGTGTCCTAAAGACACCATATACCACCAGAATGTCCAACATGCATGTGTTTCCAACAAGAAGATTAGAGAGGCAGAATACTCTCTAAGAATATCCTTAACAAGAAAGGTAAAACCTTTATTAGAAGTTCTCTTACAACTCCAAGATATAAAATACAGTAAACCATATAAGAAGGATTGGTCACTACAAGACCAAGACCATTATCTTGACATACAACCATATCATTTGTTTGTGAAGACATATGTTAAAGAAAATATACACACTAGAAGGGGGTTGAATAGTATATATCAAAAACTTATTTTTTAAAATGTAGTAAATTAGTAAAAACTTTGACAGACGAAGTGTTGGAATGCAATAGACGAAGGAGCACAAATCTTTTATACGGGTTTATCTTAAACACAAAGACTACATCCAGTTCTCAATTCAACTAAATTGAGTTTCATTATCTTTGAAAAGATACAAGTATTCTTTAAACAAGACACTTTTGGCTTAAGCTTAAGTAGTCTTTGACTTGCATTTTCAAACAACTACTCAAGTATTCTTTCAACAAGCATCTCCAGGCTCAATTACCAAGTATTATTTTCAACAAGTCTCTCCAGGATCAACCCTTATAAATAGAAATTTGAAAGGAGTTACAGAGATAGTCTCATCTCTTCTAGACGTAATGTTATGAACCTTAAGCACAAATAATCTACAAAGAACTATGTACAATATTTACAATGAAAAGCTTCTTTGTAGTGCTCCAACTTTGTATGTGTAAGTATATTTCTCAATGTGAACTCCTCAGTAAGTGTTATCTTTTTGTTTCCAGTCTTTCTCTCTGTTTCGTTGTTTGAAGGCTTGATCCTTTTATAGTAACTTTGGAAAAGATGACTATTACAACGACTTTGAGTTGAATCTTTCAATTTTCTTCTTGAGTTGTTTCGTCTGTCTTATTTGTTGATCCTATAGATTACCATTGGTGCATTAAATGTCTTTCAGTAAGGCGTGTATCTCTTATCTGATATTGCAAACTATTTATCATCATTTCCTTCTAAATTGAGCATGACATAAGTAATCTGGGATTTTGTTTTTTTGCTTCTTACAAATATTTTGTCTTGTTTTTCTTTAATAAATTATGAGAGTTTTGAATCTTCTTTCTTGTTTGATCTGTTAAAGAATAATACATTAAATGGAATTTAATGTTTGTCTCATTTTGTAAGTATTCAATTTAATGTCATGAGACTGTATGTTTAGTCTAATTTTCTCCATCTTACGAATGATATATATATATATATATATATATATATATATATATATTCCACATTTCGTTTGATATGATATATATTTGAAGAATGATAACTTTGTCTAAAGAAAATATTTTGTTTGTCATTATTAAAACTTAAGGGATTATCTTTTATATTCCACATTTCGTTTGATATGATATATATTTGAAGAATGTTAACTTTGTCTAAAGAAAATCTTTTGTTTGTCATTATTAAAACTTAAGAGACTATTTGTTGTCTTAACACAAGATTTTTGATTTAACAACACAACAACATTCATATTCTTGCCAAAAACAATTGTGACCTAATTGTATCCTGAGTGCCAACAGATACACCCCTTAAGAATTAACATGTCGGATCTGTTGAGCCTAAGAATCGAAGGGCACCAAAGAACCAAACAAACCACCATTAATACCTTTATAAGGAGAAGAATAGCCAAATGCCAACCCCTCCCCAACTTTTTTCATCTCTCAAATAACTTTCAACTTTTCTTTCTTCTTTGCATCGCTCTTGCTCTGATTATCATCGCAACCACTCATACCTTACACCCTTTGTTTCTCCTTCAACAAGTCCAATCACTTACTAGAAGAGTCAAACTTCACGTTGGGTTATATAGTATTTTTTGTTAACTTATCTCCAAGCCCCATTTTCTTTGTGGATTTGTGCTTATTGACCAACAACCTTGCATCTTTCTTACCCAATTGTATGGTGAGGGCTTGACCAACTCATGTCTTCAACATCCTCATGAGTTGCCTCTAATAAAGTAAACCTAGACCCAATTGGTCTAATTTTACCCTTACCGTTCCTTACAGCTAGATTGATCTTATTCACCTTAGGGTCAACCTCGTTATTAGTCCTTTTCGATGGGGTCTTTTTATTATTTCAACTTACTAACAACCAAGGCCCATAATCATTACTACTAATCCCATCAGAGTCATTGCTCTTGGAAACAGGAATCAAATTAACTTTTGAAATATCAACCTTTTCCACATTCTCAATCCCTAAAATCTCTCATTACTGGGTGCACCGTCATTTTTGTTACGGACACGTCCTATATGATGGCTTCTATTGAGACCATCTTCTTTACCATACTTTAGAGGATATTGAGACCATCTTCTTTACCATCCACTATGATATTAATTATTTTTTATTCTCTATAATGATATCATAATTTAATTCAAAAAAAGATAATAATTTTTTTAGTTTAATTAATTTTTTGGTCCATATAATTTTATAAATTTTACATTTTTATATAATTAAAAAGTCATTTTAATTTATATATATATATATATAAGAATA